CTGAGAAGTTTAGGGCCGTTTAGGTTTAGGATTTACGGGCGGGTTTCGGGGTCTAGGGCTAGGGGTTTACGGTTTAGGGCCGTTTAAGGTTTTTTGTTTTTTTTTGATCGCTCGCACAGTCCATCAGTCAGTCCATCTTTACCCGCCGCCGGCCCGGCCCGGCCGCGCCCACCCCGTCCCCTCCCACTGCTTCTTCTAGGTTCTAGGCCCGAATTTTGCGGCTCCAACAAGGGTTTGTGAATTCATCACAAGCCGAAAGCTCAATAATCGTGGTGGGGCAGAATGCGGCAATGCAAATTCAGGGTAGATACAAATCGTTTTCCTTATCCTGTGATGTAGATCGACCCTACATGACGACATGCATGCCATATTAGCACAGCGGGGAGGTTCCGATGTATGGCAAGCAATTCTAAAAACGCAAGTCATGCTTGAAATTATCCCCCGAGTCCCAAGACCCAAACGAAAGAACAACAACCAAGACCAACAACCAACAAAGTTATAAAATTTTTTTCGACCAAACCCCCCTGACCCGTGAAATTTAGCAGTGGGAACATCGGGTTCGGGGTTTGGGGTGGCGGGTTTAGGATTTGGGGTGGTGGGTTAGGGTTTCGGTGTTACAACCGAGGCTCCCGCAGCACCAAAGCCAAAATCCGAGACCGACACCCAAGGCCCGATAAATTGAGATTCACGGGTCCTTCTGCATCGTACGGAGGCACTTGCTCAGGCCTTCAGTCACACATGCTCATGGGAGGACTGCTTGACGCCATGGCTCCTTTTCGGGGTCAATTTTGAGCGGTGGTATTTCAAATCATGGTCACCTTTGCCAGGGTCCTCCTCCCAAAAACACAGATAATGCTGAGACAAACTAGTTGCCAAACTTTAAACCCTAAAGAAATCTACTTGTACTCTGAACCCGACCAACTCCAGAACCCCCACATCGTTGAAGCCAGCTAAAGCCTCCAGATGGAAACGGTGTCGGCAAACTGGCTTTCAGGGCTTCCGGTTCAGAGCTTTGTGACTGAATGGCTTCAGATTCATCTGTAAGGCTTCAGAAGCTTCGTGGTTTAGGGTTTGGGGCTTAGGGTCATTGAGGTTCTCAGCTTCGCGCATTGCGGACTCTCCCCAAAGCTTGAATCGGATCTGGGTTTCGGGCTCAGGGTTTGGGTTAGGGTTCGGGATTCGGGTTTAGGTAGGGATTCTGGACGACTGACCTTGAAGTCCTGGACATCGAGCGTTGTATTCTGTTGTGAGAATAAAATCTGACCTGGTTCTAGCGCCGAGAAAGTTCGGCCTTCCGTCTATTGCCTAGCGCAAAACTTTTAGGCAAAAGCAGGCTCGGATGTTCGGGGGTTAGCCCGCATGTCTGCCTCCACGTCACCTGGCTGATCAATCCTTGCGACCCCTCAAACCCTAAACGCTGCTATCGAAAGCCCAGGCCAAGCGGCACACTGCGATATTCAGGCACAAGAAGAACCAACTCAACCTTGATCGAGGCAGGTTTGGCTCGTTGGCGCGCCAGGCGAGGCAGGATTTTGGGAGTCTACCCAGAGACCTAAGAAAGGCCGTTAACATAAGATGATACAGAGAGTCGTCTGCGGATTTCTGATGGCTCTGTTTAAAGCTCAAGTTGAAGGGTTCCTTGAAGGCTATAGCTGTGGAAAAAAGCCTCTGGGAAACTCGAGAAGCCTTGGTTGAGGGCGATTCTTCATCCGCTTGATGTGACCTTTTGGCCCTGTATCCTCAACTCCAAATCCGAACCCCTAAAGCCAAAACCCTAAACCGCCTAAACCCCAAACCCTAAAGCCCAAATCCTTGACCCTAGACTCTAAGCATCAGGGACTCCACCCTAGGGGCTTCGACATCCGACTTGGGGGTTCGGGTTTGGGTGTTAGGGTTCATGGGTTTAGCTGGAGCTTGCTGAGACTTGGTGCTGAGATAGAGTTGGGTCTCAGGATTGGGGACCATAACTATACCTTGACCAGGGCACAGGAAGATTGACGCAAAGAAAAGCTGCACGGCCACGGAAATGTCGCTGAAGCCCAGGAACGTCTCGGTGGCAATCCTTCGAGCTTAGGGCTTAGGATCTCGGGTCTTAAGGTTTAGCGGTTGAGGCTTAGGCTTTAGCATTCGGGGTTTAGGGCTTAGAGTTTGGCGTTTTGGTTTTCCTCAACCCTAAACCCTCAACCCTAAAGTCTCTCTCTCCCTCTGTCTCATCTAAGGTCTACGCTTCAGACTACACTATGTTCAAAAAGGCCTGTTTGCCTTATGTTGCTCAGGGTTTGGGCGGTAAGGTTTAGCGGTTAGTGCTTATGGGGATTAGGGTTTAGGATTTAGGGTCTAGGGTGAGGAGGCAATGAACCACAGGGTGTGCAATACGAGCCAAGCCGACACGTCATTGACACTTCTGGGCGTCAACCCCTGAACGCTGAACCACAACACCTAAATCCTAAACCCTAAACCCACCTCATAAGCCCTGAACCCCCTTAGCCCTAACCTCAGAAGCCCCACAACCCCTTGGTGGCCTGGGTGGAGTGAAAAGGGCTCCTAAGGCTCAGGGTTTCAGGCTTTAGGACTTACGGTTTAAAGGTTTAAGGGCTTTCAGGTGTAAGTTTAGGCAGAGGTTTAGTAGTTTAGTGGCTTAGGGATTACGGGGTTTCGGGTTTTGTGCTTCCCGACGCTGCCAAAAAAGGGAACATAAGGAGTAGAACGGCGAATCGAACACGATATCGCAGCACGTCAGAGAATAGCTGCTACCGACAACAAAAGATGTGAAAATGCCGAGTGGTACGAAAAATAAAACACTACGCAATGAAGCAACAGCTCACGTAAAAGTATGCTTGCAATCAACATTAAAATGCCTGACAGATGACAGTGCATACTCATACAAGGTCTCACAGGAAGAAAGATGTACATAAGTCAACTAATGGATGGGTATTTAGTCAGAAGCTCACAAGAAACAAGACCAACCTGCACCACATTTGCTGGTGCATGCATGGCACACGCATCAAGCATAGAGTGTAGCAATGCAGCCGAAAATTACTGGAGGGTCCTCAGGTGAAAGCAGACAGTGGCTGTCCGAATCATCTTGCCTGCACGACGGCTTGCATCTTGTGGGATCTTCTCTCTCTCTCTCTCTCTCTCTCTCTCTGTCTCCCTTCGAACTCCGTGCATGAAAACCTCCGTCTCTCCTCTTCTCTAGTTCGTGGTTGGGATAGGATTAAAAATTTGATTTTTTTATTCCTTATTGGGTTTAAGTACCCATAAAAAGTTCTTCAGCTGGCTTTGCGAGGCAGGGCTGCTGCACACTTGGCTGTGCATTATTATTGTTGTGGTTTGAAAGGGTGGATTTCTCGCTCACTCTTTCTGCGGCTGTCTCCATCTTTGTCTTTGACTTGTCTTAGTGTTCTGTCCTTTTCGTGTCTGTGTGTGGGTGCCTAGCCATGTTCAGCAGACAGCCAAATCATAAGACCGAAATCAGGGATGCCAAGCGGGCATGAACGGATCCCTCTCTCCCTCTCTCCCCCCTCTCCCTCTCCCTCTCCCCCTCCCGCTCCCGCTCTCGCTCTCTCTCTCTCTCTCTCTCTCTCTCTCTCTGACTCGCTCTCTGTCTCTCTATGTCTCTCTCTCTGTCCCTCTCTCTCTCTCTCTCTCTCTCTCTCTCTCTCTCTCTCTCTCTCTCTCTCTCTCTCTCTCTCTTCAACTTCAAGCCCCGGCTCACCTGAATGAGACATGGCAAAGCTGTCGCCGCCGGCAAGTGCAGCGATCCGGTCCACCATGAGCCAAGCGATCCACATGAAGTTGACACCTGCGGCCAGCTTTGCATCTGAAGGACGAACCTCAAGAATTACGAATAGAGCTCATTCCTTAAAAGCTCCTATAGAAAGACAGAACGCTCTGAACTCTCATGTGCTACGATGCAATATAGCAGATAGCATCATGTCAATATGCGAGAACGATCCGCTGTACATGTGTACAAATGCGCAAGCATGCATGCCTGCATGCATGTGCACATGTATGCTTGCATGGATGCGTGGGTGGATGTGCGTGTGAATACAATGGCCCTCTCAGGGTTGAATCGTTGATGAACTGTTGAGCATAGTAAACCCCGCAGAACTTTAAAGAGCCGGTATGCAAAGCCTGATAGGTATAGAAAGCCTTATAGCGACCCTACAGAGAACCCTTTCAGAACCCGTCTGGAGCCCCTATGCAGACCGGACCCTCGAAGAACCCGACCAGGCCAGCCTTCCAGGTGCCAAGAGGCATGCTGCAGGATGGGATGATACCTGCTTAAAGGATCGTGGGACTTCGAAACGAGGCTTATAATTAAGGTAACTATACTTATAACCCCAATTAAGATACTTATAACCTTACTTACTAAGTCCCATGATCCTCCAAGTGCTGGAGGGGTGCGAGCTTTTGGAGGACTCAGGGTAGGGCTGAGGGTCATAACTGTGGCTTGATGCGGCTTGTTCGTTTATCTATTGAATCCATCGTCATCCATCGTCCATCTGCCTTCTCTGTTCGTCTGTGTAACTGCTTGACTGCTACATATCTGTACATCTACTTGTCTGTTCGTTGACTTAACTACGCCTTTATTGACTGTTGCTGTTGTTCGCAAGCTCGGCGTTCTTGCAATAGAAGTCTACGATAGAGTATTGCTGATCCCAGGTGACTGGGGTTAGATGTGTAGCATATGAGCTGCAAAGTTCCTGAAGCATCGTGTACATTGCAGAGCACACCCCTTGTCATGGTTTGTAAATCATGTTGCTCCTGGCAGGCAAGTCTATGGGCAGAGAAACATGTAGCCATACTTTTATAGTAACATCTTCTGGGCCATAGATGAGGCATCGCACATATGGTGCCGATGCAGAGACATGGGATAATAAACAGAGAAGGTTCAGGAAGGATTAGCGAGACGCAGCACTGAGGCTCAGAACCCTCAACAATGAATCTCGGCGCCCTGCCCGAAAAGCAAACAAATAACTAACCAAGTCTGACAATCACAACTCCCTGCCAAGAGGCTTCTCCGGAAAAAAGGTGGTGGATGCGAGGAGCACCACCAGCATCCAACTTCCGACGATAGCCTCGGCCGCGAGACCCCAAATCCCAAGCCGCCAAAAATGGCGTGCCGGGTTGGGCTCTGAACCCGAAACCATACGAGATCAAATGGTTCTTAGGGTAAGTAGCAATATACCGAAAAGCCCGTAAAAAATTGTTAAAAGCCTTAAAAACCCAAAAAAGCCTTAAACAAATGCGCTGTAGACTGTTAATGAGCCTCCATTCAATGCTGGGCTTCGGGCTGCAGGGATCTGTGGTGGTTTGGGGGTTCAGGGTCGAGGGCTTAAGCTTCAGTTTCTACCATGTGAGTGGTTGTCAAAATCCGGATCCCTTTTTGGGTCCCTATTTGAATACGGCACCCAAGAATTAGGGTACCCAAACAGGGACCCTAATTTTGAGAACCACCCGTGTAGGGTTCAGGGCTGAGGTTGCAGTATGAAGTTCAGTGGGCTAATTATGGTTTGAGGCCGCTGCTCGGGTGTGCTTTTATACGGGGTCCTTGTTGGTTGCTCAGGTCTCTGACCCAAGCAAAGCTGACCTTTGATACTGCTTTTGGTGGGTTGTATAAACCCCAAGAGGGCAAAGGCTGCCTTCTCAACTACGATTCTGCTCTTCAAGGTTCCGACTGAGGGTCATCTGGAATCTTACTGAGTCTCTTGGTTGCTGGATTAGGCAGAAAACTTTGTAGCGCCATGACATGGAGCCTCTTACAGGTGACAAAGCCGCCCTGAACCTGACACCGAAGACCCTAAACCTGAAGCATGCCGCTTGTTCAGGAAACGATTTGCAGGGATTCTAATGTTGTCGGCGGTCGATTTCGACAGGGCTCTCTCACTGAAGAACAAAAAGAGCAACAACAGCAATACTCAGAAGTGCCAAAACATATGTGATCACGATTACTACATCACGACTATCCATCTTAACAGTACCGACGATGAACATTCCTATGACCTGAACAACTCTGCATGACGCAGGAACTACACCCTTTGCCCTTTTATAGACTTTCATGGTTCCCCTTGCTGCCCTGCCACAGAAGTCTTCGTAGTATGTTTGTAGTACCCTGATAATGCCCTTGTGTAAAGACCGGTGACCCAGACGGCATGGCGGATGTAGTTGGACTTTTTGTGCTTCGTCTTCATGGCCAGCGCAGCCACAACCTGATGCGACATCCACGCAGAGCTGCCATATCCACTCCGGTTTAGTCTTGAGGCCATAATCTGTCGACGTGCTAGCGGTCCATTATTGCTATTGCCCTCCAAATCGACGAAGGCTGACCTTCACGCCATTCAACGACGGCAAGGACGTGACGCGTGGCTTGTGACGATACTGCACTGGTTCTCCAGAGTTCGGCTCATCCCTCTCGGGGCTTTTCGGGCTTGGCTTGAGCCCTCGCTCACTAAGCAAAAACATCCTACACAAAGACCCTCAAATACGAGCTACGTGGAGGAGTTTCGGGTTCTTCGGCTCAAGAATATTGACAGCAGTAGATGCCGGTTCAACATTGGGTCTTGGACCCTGCAACTAGGATGTAGGGCCTGAGCTTCAGGCAGATATGGGACCTAGCTTCAACAGTTAGAGCCTCAAGCCCACCTCCTCAACACCCAAACCCCAAACCCTAGGCCCCCCTCAGACCCCGTTACGCCGTTTCCCGAAGATCAGGGCTTCCTGATGCCGAAGGCCAGGCCGCGGTGATCCCGACGCAGGCGATGGCGTCCACCCAGCGCAGGAACCACTGCCCGGCGTCTTTCGGGGGCTCTCCCTGACCGGAACTTGGGGCTTCGGAGTTCTTGGCTTCGGGGGCTTAGTGGAGCTTCTCCGACGAACATGATCCATCGAGTACGTGTTTCGAAGCAAGGAACCATGTACATCTTCTTGAACAACACGAGCCACAATAAAATGTGCAGAAACATGCTTAACGATGTCGACGCAACGTCATCTCTGCTTTCCTGCCCGCCTCTGTCATGAAGGAGTGCCACCGGCACATGGGCAGGAACGGGTACCTGGGCCGGCCCACGCACGATCCGCCCGGTCATCCTCGTGAAAAGCCCAAAGCCCCTAAACCCTAAGCCTCAGGCCTCGGTCCCAGAGCTCAACTACAAGTCCCCTACAGTGCTCCGACTGGGATAGTTTCGGAATCCGGACTCTTGGCTTCGACAATGAAACCAAGAAAAACGGTCGCGTTGAGTTGTTGCGGAACAACACCCAAACGGAAACGGCTCCTCATCGAAATCCTACAGATACATGCGCTTCACGTACAACTTATGTAACCATTCGAGATGCTTCGTTCATTCATGGCACGCTGACTATGCTGGTAAACGCTCTATTTGGGAGCATGCCCTTTGAATGTGTTCTGAAGTACACAACCTCCCGCAAATGTGGCTGAGCAGGATTTGGTAACAGGCTATGATTGAAGAGTGTAGCACCCCGGTGGGTTTGGGAGAAATTGGTCCAACATGGGCACAACAATACGTGACAAATGCAAGTTCGGATCAGAAACGAAATCTGTCAACACTGACTTGCTGCTACCCTGTGGCCCAAAAGCCCCCGCGCCCAGGCCCTAAACCCTGAACTCAAACCCTAAACCCTCAACCTCAAAGTCGGAGCATTGAAACGTAAAACAGCGTCTGCTTTGCCATTGCCATGGTGCAAGGACACGAAGATGCCCGTGGCCGGAATCGCTACTGCACCAGCGTAGCCTGTTTGGCTTTCGGGTTTTAGAGTCAAGGGGTTCGATCTAAACTTACCAGGAAGGTGCATGCAATCTTCTGGGTTCAGGTTTGTAAATTCCGGAGATGGAGATGTTAAAGAGAAGGCTTCGTCTAACTCCGAGCGCACCTACATCAACTTGAACCCCTTACAGCCAGAACCCAAAATCCGGTATGGCTTTCACAGACTGTTGCAAAAGGGACCCCCCGCTGCTGAGCATGTGGGGCTTTTGGGAACAGTTTTGAGTCGCCCCAGTGACGTTGTCAAACGAAATTCCCAAGACCTTCGGGTCCCACTTAAGGAGATGCGAGTGAACACGCAAAAGGCTTCGAAGCTTCAAACCCACAGCGCGATCCTCGCCCCCGTTGAGCGAAGTCTGCTTCAAACCGACCACAACCGGAGTGGCAAATTAAAGGCTATATGGGAGTTTCCGAAAATAGGGGACCGTAATATCGTACCCTAAACAATAGGAGCCTTATTATAAGGACCCTAAAATAAGGTGCCCCTAATTTTTCGGAAACTCCCATATGGTAGACCACCCTGATGTCAAAGCCTCACCCCTGCAACACAAGCGCTAGACTCTGCAACTACAGCCATGTCCAAGATTTTGTTAAGGAACCCACAAACCTGGCGATCTATCCATGCTCTGCGAGGGCTTGCAGTCTCTGGTTTCTTCGATAAGAACTTAGCCTCTGCCATACACCCTTTAAGTTCGCTTCTCTGTGGCTCTTCCCTGCAGTGGCTAACCTCCAGGGCTCAGAAACCTAAACCCTAAACCCGAAAAGTTCGAGGCCGTAGCGGCCTGCTTAAGTGACCCGGATGATCTTCAGTGGACTTGGTAAGTCCACTGGAAGTTAAACTTCCCCAACTTAGATGCCAGGGGATCGAAGCCCAAAGCCCTGGCCCTAGTCTTTATGGCAGTTTCCGAAAATTATGGGGTACCTTATTTTGGGGGGTCCTTATAATATGGAGCCTACTTTTTACGGTACTATATTAGGGTCCCCTATTTTCGGAAATTCCCAGTTGGTTAAGAGTCATGTGGGGGTGCAGGGTTTGGGGTGTGGGGTGTTTTGGATTTACAGGAGGTTTGGGTTGCCAAAGCAGGAAAACAACCGTCCATGTCAGCCATCAACTTCACAAGAAGCATGGACGATGCGTGCGGAGAGTACACCCTGACTTTCCCTAAGCACTGCGCCAACTGCTGTGAGGCCTCTTACTCCGACGAGATTACGACTCTCGAGTCTTTGTCATATTCTTCTTGAAGCTATTTCTGGGGCTCACGAGCTCAAGGAAGCTTACCTGTGCATCTCAATACCTGCTCAAGCCGAGACCCCAAACCAAAAAAGGTCGACACCTAATTAAACCTCAAACTCAGAAGCTCGGAGCCCCAAATCCAAAATCCGGATCTTCAACTCCATGTGGGGCCAAGGGACGACAGATGGCGCGTGGCGGCTTTTCGCTCTTGCTGCGTCGGAGATGGAGCATGCCTCCAACACGAAATTTATGTGATCTCTGTTGGTAGTACCTGTCCCCGAGCAAGCTGGCACTGCTACAGGTACTGGTACGGCTGCACCCCTAAACCCTAAACCCTAAAAACATAAACAGTAACCCTATCTTGCGGCCGAACCCTCAAGCCTGAGCCGGAACCATAGCCCAGGCCCCAGAAGCTGGCTCCGCATCTCAAGCTCGAGACCCGACTCTAAAAACTAACTAAACTCCTCGTCCACACGTTTTGGTTCACAAAACAATGCTATTAATTTTATGAAACCCCTTTTGAAACTTGGCCCCCTGGCCTGGGAGGAGGCCGAGGAGGCTGCCATAGAGGGCATAGGTAACTTGGCGGTTCAGGGTTTGGGGTCTGGAGGTTTAGGGTCTAGGGCTAGGGTTTAGGCTTTAGGGGTTCAGGGTTTTAGGGCTTAGGGCTGCGAAGGCAGGGAGCCGGGAAGCAAGTCTGGGGATTAGGGCCTAAGCGATTCAAGCTTTTTTCAAAGGTCTCGAGTTTGGTGCTTTGCTGGGGAGTTAGTTTAAGAGGAGGAAAGCTTGCTTAGGGCGTGGAAGTTCCGGTTGGGTTCGGGGTATCGGGACATTGGACCGAGTGTGCAATTCCGACCCACCTCAAACCTTGTTTCAGCCGCGATTTCTTTACTGAAGCATCTCCTGCGTTTAAGAAGGAGGATGGCTTCACATGTTTGACAAATGTGAGTCAATTGGTTCAGGGTCTGGGTTCACGGACGGACAATCAATCCGATTACACTCAGGCCGCGTGCACCCTGCTTTGCAAGCCAAATCACAGCTCTGAACTCTAAAACCAATGTCCCACAGCTTACACCAGTGATAACCCTAAGCATTTCAGACCAGGCCTGAATTCCTTCAAAATCCCTCAGTCTATCGACACGAGCCCCGAACCTGAAAATTATCCCAAAACCCCCCGGTGGGGTTCGGTTGTCGAGCATTCTTCCCTGCCCAGACCCAACTTTTTGCAATGTACAAGCCCTACAAAAGCTTCTGAGTAACGGCTACAGTTGTTGACAGATTTGGGACGAGTGCGCAACGTTTAAGGACTCAGGCTTGGGGCTTTGGGGTGTGAGCATAAAACATCACTACGTGTAGGACATAACTGATATCTACCAGGTGCTTTAAAGAGTCTAAAATCGCTCATCGCTAATGATGGCCGATCCAAAGGGAACCGGCGAAATCCCTGTGGGGCCCTGATAGAAAAAACAAAGCCGACAAAACACGCCTGCTGTAGACGATTGTAGCCAATACACCAGAAACGAAGTTACAGAACAACAAAATACTTTCCTGAAGCCTACATGCCTAGAATGACCCGGATCGTAAACCTCACAGACCAGCAACAAAAAAACTGTAAAACGGGAAAGCCGAGGTGCGCTGGCTGGTGGACAAGCCCACACACTGTCAAGCGGTCGGGGGGTCCCTACACCCGAGGGGCTTATGAGCTGAACCTAGAAATCGGCTTTACATTCCACCCCTTTCTGCAGAAAGGCCAGTGAGGCCTACCGAAGTGCGGCTGTTTGCTCAAACTGTCTGAACCCCAATGAACAACCCAGATGTCGTCAGACCTCGAGCTTAACCCAAACCCACCCTAAGGCAGCCTAAAGCCTGCATGCTAAAACCTAGGCCGCCAAACCCTTCATCCTAAAGCTTAAACCCGAAAGCCATCAACCGGTTCAGGGTTTGGGTTTTTGCGGCGACTCGCAGGGGCCTTTCTTGCCAAATCCCGAGGTCATCAAAGGGGTTTGCGGCTCTTTTTGGGTGCTATAGGGGTCTTTAGAATTGAGAGATTAGGGTTTGAGACGTGGAGAATTGAGGTTTACGGCTAAGGGTCTTCTGACTTTAGGCTTTGAGAGGTTTAAAGCTGGAGGGCTGGCGCTTGAAGGTTTCTGGGTGTGACCTTTCTGAATGTAGGCTGGAGCTTGGCGATCATGTAAGACTTTGGCCGTTGGGCTTCGGAGGGGCTGACGGGCCGAGTTTGCCCTCGTGTTCCGCGCAGCAGTACAAACTCTCATGGCCCCCGCCGAGCAGACACGGAGCAAAACCAGCAAAGGACATTCATGTGAATGTTTCTCGCGCTTGCCGGCGGCAAGCCAGGGCAATGGCAATCCCAAAAAGCTTGCGCCTGTTGGCCAACACACACTAAACGCCAATCATCGAAGGTTTTGGATGCTGCTCGCCAGTCAGTCACAGCTTTTTGACGTCTGTCGTAGAAGCAAGTGCTGCAGGTCGGCTTCGACAGCTTCAATCTTGGTGGCTGTGACAAGCCGCTTGAGGATAGCGGCTGAGTTTGGCGGGAGCTCTATTGGGCTGCGTGGCTTGTAAACTTTTTTCTTGCTCCTGCAGTCTCCGGAACCTGAAGCTGCTTTTAGACGTTGCCCAATCCAACTTGAATCTTGATGTGGGACAAGCATCCACACGGAGCCATCATCAAGATCCTGCAGTCGGGCGTACCGCCCCCAGGCCAGCAGGGAGGACAGAGCAGTATCGTTTTTCAAGCAATGCTGGTCGGTGAGCTGCCCAATTCCAGGCCAATCCTGGAATGTTTGCCCAGAGGACTGCATGTTGCGAAGGACGCACAGCTGCTTCTTGACCACTTTGGACGCGATGGCTTGCGCCAGCGCATACGGGTTTTTCATAACATGCTTACACGGTTTCTTCAGCATATAGTCTTGTGCCAGGCCTCTTGCGGCGCGGAGCCCACGTCTGTCCCCGGCATTATTCGATCTGGCGCCGACCTCCAAGCTGCCTCTAACAGGCCGCCTTGCACCTGAAAGTACCGCTTCTTGAAGGCAGTCGCCGCAGACTGCTCATCCTGCCAAGGAAAATGACCATATAGGTGTATATACATGGAATTGTTGCATGATTCTCTGCATATGGTCTTGGAAAAGCCGCCCTTATGTCGGAGCCACAAAAAGGAACATGTTTTCGATATTTTTGCTCTTAAAATCCCGCCGTTTTCAGAGGGTTTCCAGTGCAAAACCATGTTTTTTTTTGTGGATTAAATCATGCTTTTTCGGAAGTAAAATTTGGCCCACAATGCTTTGCGGCCAATTTGGGGGAGTAGTTTTGGGGAGTAAATTTACTCACCAAAAAAATTACTCACATTTTGGGGAGTAAATTTACTCCCCAAAGTTGCTCGCAAGTGTTAAAATTTACTCCCCAAATTTACTCACGCGCGAGTAAATTTACTCCCCAAAATTACTCGCATGTGAGTAAATTTACTCCCCAAATTTACTCGCGTGCGGGTAATTTTGGGGAGTAAGTTTTTTGCGCCTCAAAATTTACTCCCGTTTTTCTGCGCGTCGGATCTTTCAGGAAGATGCTGCGTGCTGCTGCTGATGCTGCGCTCGACCTGTTCTAAGGTTTGCTTCGCAAGACATGGAAGACCCTGGCGAGTCCAAAACCGTCGTGGCTACGCTAGGCGAAGATGGGGCAGGGGCAGAGAGTCGCGCGTGCAGTGCTGGGGAAGGAACACCACTGACGGGACTGCGCTGGGCCAACGGCAGGCTGGGAGGCGAAGGTTGCTGGCGCAAGTGCCTTTGTGATGTTGGTAGTGCTCCTCCGAACATCCTATGTGGCCCGGGCTGCTTCGGATCAGCGGCACATCGACACAGCGGCATGACGGAATCGGCGAATCGGTGTGGTAGCGGCGACATGCAGGGCGAGCCCATCACAGAGCCAGCCCGACGCTTTTTGAAAGGCTGCGAGTCTGGAGGCGCCCCGCTCATCATCCCGCCTGTTATGGCAGGAACTGCAGCGAAGGCATCGTCGCCAGGCCATGCGCAAATGTTATTTGCACTTACAGTAACTCCGGCTTCCTGGCAAGGCACTGGATGCTTCTCCTGGATGCCTGGCTCGCAGTGAACATAATGGCCTACCGTGTCTCCTGGAGCTTGCGTGAACAACATTACTTGTGTTCTGGGGAACAGGTCAAGCCACTGTTTCGCTCGGGGTAGGCTCATGAAACTGGGGGAGCATTGTGGCAGGAAAAGATATGCCCCGGGGGCAGGCTCGTGTACCACAAGTAGGCCTGTGCAGTACCAGAGCTGCAACGCGTCCACGGCTAATTTTATCTCTGGTACGCTGCTTACGGGCGCCAGGATATTCAAGTAGGCAGCTTTCGGCAGAGTGCCACAACTCTGCATGTTGCGCAGCACGAGAATGATGGCGGCATTGACGCTCAGGCCAGTGTGCTGCGAGCTTGCATGCCACCAGCAGCAACTGTCTGCATAGCTTTCAATAGCCGTGCAATGGGCAGCTGCAAGGAAAGTTCCAGCAGTGTCCGAACTTTCTGTGGGGCATGGCTGCGCTACTGCTGCTACGGACGAGCTTCGTGACTGAGAGGCAATTGGACTGCACACCGAACAAGTCTCTATTACAGTCACACCGTCATCTTCGGCTTCAACAGCAGAGGTATCGGCGCCGGCCACATGCACAGGCCATTGGCTTTCAGCTCTGGCAGCGGCACGACTGGTTGCGGGGTCCACTTCGACGGCTTCTGCATGGCAGCAGCAGGCCATAGCACTTAAGAGCGCATAGCCATGACATCGCGCAAGGTGTGACATCCTGCGTCCTGGCTTTGCACACGCACGTTGTAGGAATGCATCATCGAGCTGCTTCTCCTCCAACCTGATGGTGCGAAAAGGGTAGCGTCAGCGTACACGCTGCCTGGCTGCGTACCACGGCAGATGCCTCTGCTGAACAAGAGAACGCACCCCGTTTTTTTCTCCAATAAGTGCCCGGCACCAGGATGTGTCGAGGTGCAAACCAGTCAAAGACACTTCCTGCCATGCTGCCCGGTCTGATCTACTGAGTGCAATCAACGTGCAGGAGGATGTGTATGCCTCTATGGCGCAGTCCAATAACCAGTTCTCGTATGCGTCCTGGCAACGAGCAAGAAACCTGATAGCAAGAGGTCAGCAGTCCATCACTGGTAATCACAGTCCTTCTCTGCTTCGGCAGCAGCCTTGTCGTTCATGCGTCGCGGCGCACAGCCTGTTGAAGCTTAACCAACCGAGGCCAGCCTCAGAAGAGCTGCGGCACCAGGCCTGGGCGAATGAAGCGTGTAACAGTGTAACAGAAGAACACTATCGTGCATCTAGCACCAGCCTCGTCGATAGCAATGGGCCCGACCTGCAGCAACTACAGTACGGTGGTCTAAGAACATGTGACCACGAAGTCTGCTTCAGTGAAATCTGAGGCTGGTGCTGTCGTGCAAATAGTCAGGCGACAGAATGCCGCCAAGGAGGTGCGGGAAAAGATGTCCAAGTCCCAGGGGCTTGAGGCCTCCGTCAGCGTGTCACGGATGATGTGCGTAAAAGTTCGCGAATAACGGACATCATCTAGCAGGCTGGCATGGTCATCGACCATGTCCGCCCAACGCATCTTTGAGGGAGCCATTGCAGATCACAACGGAGTGACCGGCTCAGTCTCGATGCAACTTGTCAGAAGCTTTCCGAACCTTGGAAGGAGATGGATGCCGGAGGACCAATCGCGGGGACTTGCGTGTGATGGCTACGGCGAGAGAGGCTTCGCCTAGGTTCTGTTGTTGATGCTACGTGGGCCTGCGTGCCGGTTTTTGGAGGACTTGTACTGGACTCCCTTTCGTGACCCACGGATTTGCTGTGCCTTCCTTCCTTCCTTGTCTTCTTGCCTTCTTCCTTCCTTACTTCCTTCCTTCCTTCTCTTCCTTCTTCTTTCCTTCCTTCCTTCCTCCTTCCTTGTTTTCCTTGCTTCCTTCCTTCCCTGTGTAAATAACAGGACGTGGGGGCCGGAAAAAATAAAGGGGTCAGAAAAAAAAAGGGCCCCAAAAAAATAGGTTCCCTCATGTTCAGCACTGTAGGGCTTAGGGGCTTCGGGGCTTGCAGGCGTCAGGCTGCTGGAGGACTGGAGATTGTAGCTTTTGTTTCAGGATTTAGCGGGCCTGCGTGGGATCCGAAACTCAGTATATCCAAGCCGAAAAGAGAAAGGTCGACTCGCGCTATGAACCCGTAAGCTCACGACCCCACATCCCCCAAAAGGTCTCTTACCGAAAGCCCCTCGGTCCCAAACCTCTTCTGAAAGCCTGGGTCCAATGTCAGACCCCGCGACCCGAAACCCTAAAACCTCGGTTTTGCGTTTAGAAAGTTTAGAACTTAAGATGAACCGCAACCCCTGAGACTCCGAAAGCCAAAACCCTGAAAGCCCCGAAAGCCCTGAAGCCCTGAACCGATCGCGCCTGTGCCACAGCCACGAGGCCACCAGCCACGAGCCACCTGGGCTCAGCCCGCTGAAACCGGAACAGTGATGATGGGGTTAGGGTTCACGCTTTCCAAGAACCGGAAAGCCTGAACTCTCAACCCATGACCGTTACCGAAGAGACTGCCTTGCATCCACTTCGGATGGCTTTCTCCTTGCGACAGAGCTACTAACAGTGGAGTAGGATCCCTTTGATCGCCCCATATCTACTGCAATATACCCAAAACGAGGGTTGAATCATTGTAGCCCCTATGCTGCATTATCTTCCTCCATTGCTCCCAACGAAAGACCAAGCCCAGACGCGCATATCGAAGGGCTCGTAGGAATCGTAGGGGAAGAAGCCATGCAAGAGGGCAATTACAAGCTTTTCTAGAGGAGTGCAAAACCCGAAACCCTCAACCCCATGTTCAAATCTTCAAGCCCTTTGACCCTTCCTAAACAAGGCTCTACCGCTTGAAACTTTGGAAGTCTTCAACGCGAGCCTTCTCGCATAGTTCGAAAGGAGAGTTTATATAGATACTACAGATAGTATACCCAAACACCCCCTCTCCTGACCCTGCTTTCATGATCACGACCGCTGGTCCATCCCAAAGACCAGTTCTAGTTATGAAGGGCCTCCTTCACATCTTGAGCTGGGAACCCTCGAGCCCTACAGGCAAGGCTTACCATAAGGGTCCTCTGTAAGATTCTGTAAGGGAACTCCTGAGTTCGATGACCCTGCAGACTGAACTTTGGGTGCCCGACAAAACTAAAACCTGTCTTCGAGTGAGAATGCAAGGACTCCCAGACCTGCACACCCCTGATTACGAAACCAAGCCTTTGCTTGTACCCTACAGTTCCGGGAAGACCAAACGATTGGGTCCTGAGCTAAACCGTTCGTGCTTGGCGGCAGCGACAAAAGCACCAGACGTAGCCGATGCGGAGAGGTCTCCCAGGGCGCTTTGCGTGTCGATTAAGGGCTCGTCGGGGTACTTAATTTTTCGGGTTTCGAGTTTAAGGCTTCAGGTTTCGCGGAACCCGGGTTCAGGGAGTGCAGCTCTGGGATGAAAGGAGTCTGTCGTTTCAGATTATGGTCTTTTCGAGGTCTTCGGAAGAACAAGCGGCACCGTCGATCGTAGGGGCGGCAGAGATGAAGGTGCTAGGATTCAGCTGTTTCACCCTGCGTTTAACCCTGCTGCCGGATGCGGAGCTTGCTTGCAATTGTGATATGTCGGGGGAGGATCTATGTTATATACGTATCTGCAGACATATACATATACATATATATATATATGCACACACACACGTGTATGTCTGTATGTATGTGTACATACATACATACACAAGTATACATGTACATGTACTTGTATATGGATGTGGATCTGTATCTGTATGTGTGTGTGTATGAATATGCGTATGTGTATGTATCTGCTTACATGTCTGTATGTGTGTATGTGCGTATGCGTGTATCTGTTTATGTGTGTATGTGTGTATGTGTGCCTGCATGTGTGTGTGTGTATGTGTGAACATGTGTGTGTGTGTGTGTGTGTGTATTTGCGTGTGTGTGTGTGTGTGTGTGTATGTAGGTATGTATGTATGTATGTCTGTCTGTCTGTGTGTGTGTGTGTGTGTGTGTGTGTGTGTGTGTGTGTGTGTGTGTGTGTGTGTGTGTGTGTGTGTGTGTGTGTGTGTGTGTGTGTGTGTGTGTGTGTGTGTGTGTGTGTGTGTGTGTGTGTGTGTGTGTGTGTGTGTGTGTGTGTGTGTGTGTGTGTGTGTGTGTGTGTGTGTGTGTGTGTGTGTGTGTGTGTGTGTGTGTGTGTGTGTGTGTGTGTGTTGTGTGTGTGTGTGTGGGTGTGTGTGTGTGTGTGGTGTGTTTGTGTGTGTGTGGGTGTGTGGGTGTGTTTGTTGGGTGTGTTGGGTGTGTTGGATGTGTTGTGTGTGTGTGTGTGTGTGTGTGTGGTGTGTGTGTGTGTGTGTGGTGTGTGTGTGTGTGTGTGTGGTGGTGTGTGTGTGTGTGGGGGTGTGTGTGTGGTGTGTGGGTGTGTGTGTGGTGGTGTGTGTTGTGTGCGTGTGTGTGGAGGGAGTGCGTGAGGTTGCGTGAGCGTGCGTGCGTTGAGTGCGTTTGTGCGTGAAGTGCGGTGCGGGCGGGGCAGCGGGCGGGGCGGGCGGGCGGGCGGGCGGGGGGCGGGCGGGCGGGCGGGCGGGCGGCGGGAGGGCGGGCGGGCGGAGGGGCGGAGGGGGGGGGGTGGGGCGGGCCGAGCGCGCGCGGCGGCGCGCGCGGGCGCGCGGTGCGCCTTGTGCGCGTGGGGAGTGAGCGTGCTGCGTGCACGGGTTGCGCGTGCGAGAAGGCGACGCGAGCGAGAGCGCGCGTGGCGCCGGCGCGTGGAGGGTGGGTGAGAGTGCGCGTGCGCGTGCGCTGTGCGGCAGTCGCGGTGCGCGTGCGCGTGAGCAGCGAACGTAGTGCGTTGTCAGTGCGCATGGTGCGCGTGCGACGTGCGCGTGCGCGTGCGCGTGCGGAATGTGCGCGTGCGGGGCGGGTGCGGGTGTGGAGTGAGGGCGGGGAGGGCGCTGAGGCAGGCTCCTGCGGGTGCGGGTGCGGGTGCGGGTGCGGGTGCGGGTGCGGCAGTGCGGGTGAGGGGCGTGGGTAAGCGGGTGCGGCGCGAGCGGAGTGAGGGAGCGTGCGGCGAGAGAGCTGCGGGCGTGTGGCGGGTGCGGGCGGGTGCGGGAGAGGGGTGAAGGGTGAGGGTGCGTTGTGCGGGTACGGTGCGGGTGAGGGGTGCGGCGGCGGGAGCGCGCGGAGTGCGGGGCGGGCGCGCGGTGCGCGCGGTAGGCGCGGGCGCGGGTTGCGCGGGGCGCGAGGGGAGCGCGGGTGAGGGCGCAGCGGCGCGCGGTGCGGGCGCGCAGCGGGAGGCCGAGAGGGCGTGCAGCGGAGCGGTGCTGGCGTGCAGCGGGCGTGCGGGCGTGCAGCGGGCGTGCGGGCGTGCAGCGGGAGGTGAGGGCGTGCAGAGGGCAGATGAGGGGCAGAGGGCGTGCGGGCGTGCGGGCGTGCAGCGGGCGTATGATCTGTGAAGGGCGTGCAGCGGGCGTGAGGAGTTTGCAGCGGGCGTGGGGTGCAGCGGGGTGGTTGCGTGCGCGGAGGTGAGGGGCTGTGCGGGCGTGCGGCGGGCGTGGGGCGTGCGGGGCGGGTGAGGGTAGTGAGGGGCGTGCGTTGGGGTTACGGGGTGCGGAGTTGCGGGCCGTGCGGGCGTGGGTGGCGGGGTGAGGGCGTGCAGGCGTGAGGGCGTGCGGGCGTGCGGGCGTGCGGGCGGCGGGCGTGCGGGCGTGCGGGCTGTGCGGGGCGTGCGGGCGTGGGTGCGGGCGTGAGGGCGTGCGGGCGTGCGGGCGTGCGGGGGCGTGCGGGCGGGCGGTGAGGGCGCTGCGCGTCGGTGAGTGCGGGAGTGCGGGCGGCGGGCGGCGGGCTGTTTAGGGGAGTGCGATGGAGAGTCTGTGCCGTGCGTGCAGTGCGGAGTGTGTGGGCATGTGCGTGTGCGTGTGTGCGTGTGCGTGTGCGTGTGCGTGTGCGTGTGCGTGTATATGCTTGTATGCGTGTATGTGTGTATGTGTGTATGTGTGTATACACATATATATATATATTGATATATATTTATATATTTATATTTATGTATGTGTATGTATCTGTTTGTATCTGTATCTGTACCTGCATATGTATATGCATACGTATACACATGTGTATATGTATGTGCAGGTGTATATGTGTATGTATTTGTATGCATACATCATTACATACACGCACATATGTGTATATACATATATAGGCCTACACAGGAGAGAGTTGTGCGTATACAGAACTAGAGTGTGTCCTGCTCGTGTATGAGAGAACGAGAGAAGTACCAGAGCACCATCCGGTGCGCCTTCTGCTCTCCCAAAAGGCCCATGGGCAGTCAGTCAAAAGCCGCAGCACATCGCGCCCAAGGCTCAACTCCCAGGAAGCTTTGGAAGCTTCGGTCGTTCTCTATCCTTCAAATAAAGTTTTGGGTTTTCGGGGGTATACCGTTCTATAGTTGCATCAGGACGAGGATCAGCAATGAGAGGGGTTTAGGGGTTTGGGTTTAGGGTCTAGGTGTTTTTGGTGTCAGGGAGGATAAGAACCAGTTATGCGGGGTCTATCCAGCTTTGGGCCGAAACGACATGCCAACGCGGTACGATGCGAAGACACCGTGTCAGTGCAGACTCTTGACTCAAGCTGCGCAGCTCTGATGGTTCAGGCAAAAGAATCAAAGCTCTGGTGAGCCAAACACCAAACCATGAAGTCTAAATCTTGACTCACTAAACTACTAAACCCTGAACCCCAAGCTCTAAAGCTGAATGAGAACCTAAACCTCGAGCCTGAACCCTTTTGGGCCTGAGGGCGCTGCCTAGTTCGCTTTTTCTCTGCAAAGTCACAGCACATCTGGCGGGACAGGTTTGGTGGCTTTACACTGTACATGAGACGGGAAAGCTGGAAAGCACCCGTACTCATTGCTGGGGCCCCTATCCTACCCCTAAACCATGGTCTAGCTACTTCGGTCACGCTATTGAAAGCCAGTGCAGAATCTGGCTCACGAGGAGCGTAAAAGACAGCGTGCTGCCCAGGCCGGCCAGAGCAACTCCCTCGCACCAGTCCTTACCGGATGTGAAAGGGGCGCTTAGGCCGTCCAGTTTGTCATCTAAGAGCTTCTAAACAGCAGGAGGGTTCTATGCAGGTTTTGATAAGGCTGTGTAGGGCTGTCGCAATGGCCTTCGTGAATTCTAGAAATTGCCCTGCAGGGTTTGGAGCTTCGATGAATTATCTGCTGTTGTTGCGAGAGCGTCTTCGCGGATTGTTTTTGTCCTTAACCGTTTTTTCATGAGGCGAAAACGTTGCTGCAAACCACTTACAACAACGATCCATGCGCGCGAATCAGCAATGCCTCCAACGGTGTGGTCGGAGGGGGCAAACTCGGTTGAAAAGTGTTGCTTGCTATTCATTTCCAACCCACACGGGACTGGCATTCCTCTATGCCTGCTTTGGGCCACGACCCTATAAATATGTGCAAAGCAGAGCAGTACTGAGTGGGATGTTTCAGACCTTGGGCTTCGAAGACCTCCTTCATCATCTTAAACTGTTGTTGGCTCCAGGTTTCTGGGGTAATTTGGGGTTAAAAACCCTAAACCCTAAAGCCTCTAGTGCTGCGTATGCGTGAGAAATCAGAAGCTTTGACTCCCGCTCTTCTAAACAGAAAAATCTGATGGTAGAAAGCATTGATGCGTTTCATGTGCGGTGTGGTCAAGGCGAAAGCTTCACATCCATGTGAGTGTGAGGAGAAAAGTAGTGTGGAAGATGTGCAACTTCTCCTTACGAGATATGGTACTATTCCTGATAAGCCTTAGCTTTTCGTACATTTCTTCTGCCAGTCTGGTTCTGTGTGAACACTACTTCAAAAGGGTTGGCCCAGGAGACCGTGCTACCCAAGCAGCTGATTGTTTCTTTGGTGGGGAAGGTGCTGCTGTCGCTGAATATGAGGGAGTGGTCCGTGGAGCCAACCGGTATATGGAGTTCGGTCTTAATCTTGTACAAGTAATGCCATATGAGGGGGGGGATTGCCTCTAGGGCGCTCAGAACGATTGCATCTGCGCTGTGGTCCGAGCTATCAAAGAGTATCATCTACGTACTCCAAATCACATGTTGGGTATCCTTCTGACAAGTGTTACGAGGAGTTCCTTGCTTGTCTCGGGTGGAGTCTAGGTCATGGGAGATTACCGTTAGGATCGGAATGAAAAGGTAGGGGCTCAACTTTACCCGTGGTGGTGTGGTCAGATCCCTGGGTTCCGAAGGTCGAAGCTTCGTAGAAGGACTGGATGGATCGCATTCGTCACGTAGCCGAGCTTGCAGCATGCGCGCGTAGAATGCAGTCTGTAGGTAACAGGTAACATTGAAAGAGGGCAGCCTAAACCCTAAACCCTATATGATCTTGGGTCTGCGTCATCTCTTAGAAGCTGCCCCCACCCTGTAATAGTGGTATAATAGGAATAAAATAGGGCCCTAATATAATCCTATATAATCCTTATGGTCACTATTACAGGGTGGGGGCCCCTTCTAAGTCATCTCCTTTTCCTTTCCATTTTGAGACCACCGCGGCCTGCGACCCTGAGGCTGGTGTTTCTCCTCCCATGCATCTGGGAGTTTCCGAAAAAAGGGGACCCTAATATAGCAGCCTAAGTTGTAGGATCCTTATTATAAAGACCCCCAAAATGGATTTTGCTGATTTCGCGTGATGGCCTAACGTGGGAACCTTAAGGGGCATAGAAGGGTTACCATAAGGGATCTATAAGGGTACTATACTTATTATGTAGGAACCTGATGAAGAAACCTCGGGCCTTTTACTTGGTGTTCCAATATGAATCCTACTATTTGGGGGTTATAGGGCCAGGGTTTCTTAATCAGGTTCCTACATAAAGCAAGATAGCTACGGGTGAAGCTGGGCTCATCTGGTTCCATGGGGTTGTCGCTCTGCCCGGGTGTGGTATGTTGGGCACAGCCCATCGGGATTGTTCAAGGTGACCTTCAAATGCCTTGTGCAAATGGCTTGCCGGCAACTCCCAAGTGTGTTTGTTCTCCCTGAAAGCCTTTGCGTAGTCCTTGACAGTGTTCCAGATCTCCGAGTGTGTTCCACCAGGAGCCACTTATCATGGAGCCACTGCACCCTTCCTTTACGAACGCCCCAGGGTGGCCCGCACTACGGCGGTTTTCAGCAGATTTGTTGCATCTACGTTCTCAAAAGACCGCGACAACCCACCCAGCGGCGCGTGAGCCGCAAGGGCTTTCGTGCGGGAGGGGCAGACCTTACAGCACAACCGAAGACTGCTCATGCGGCAGGGAAAATCGGAGCAGGCGCGTAAGCTGATAATATGCGGGAACACCGGTGGCCACTGCGGCGCACAAAAGTCCAAGGGCATGGCAAATCTCACCTCTGCGGACATGCCAATGCAAAGACGAAACCCCCAACACACGGTCCCAAGAAGGCATCTACAACGTCCTCATGATGTTCCCATCCAGCAGGGCATCAGATGCATTCTCACAGACACAAACCTTAAAGCCCCCTGAGCCATGAATGGGGTGGCCTTCGGCTGGGTCGGTCTTGTTTGCTACCCCACGCACGCTCACAGAGCACAAACCCCAAACCTCGAAGCCCCATAGCCTTGAATAACTAAACCCACGCCTCCCAAAACCCTACCCAAAACCCCAACAACCTTTGAACCCTCGATCCCAATCCCTAACCCCCAAACCAGCCCTTGAAAACCCTAAGCTCGCTGCTAGATCCGGAACCCACTAGTTCGGTCAGAAGGCGGTAAGAGGAGTTTCCAGTTCCACTGTGCATCCGGCTGACGAGCCTCGGGCTTGCTACTGAGGGTTTAAGGTTTAGGGCTCACAGTTTCTGAAGTTCAGGTTTTAGGGTTAGCCATCACATAACATATTGCCGCTGCCGCTGCTGTTATCACTATGATGCTTGAAACGACCTTGACCTTGAAGGCCGGGGAGCCTGAGCCCTCATCAGTTATGAGGGCTCAAGCTAGCAGGGCTTTGGGGTTTGGGGCTTTCGAAGAGGCTGAACGCAACGGTATGATGACATCTCAGGGCTTAGCCTCTGTCGTGCTCTCGCATGAGTCGCCAAAGAGCTCGGCACAGGCGTTGGTCTCTGGAGTTTCGGGTCTTCGGGGTTTCATGCATCGGGGCGCCGGGGCACGCAAACCAGAAACCCACAACGGGAGCGGGCTTCAGGCGGTAACGCGCCACGAAGCCAGTGAATGATTCGAACGGGGGCTTCTGGACGTGCGAAACCACAACAGGCGAGAGTCTCCAAGAATGGGCCTCAATGCGCAAGTTCCCAAGGATCCTTCAAGAGGACCTTATAACCCTGCAAGGGTGCCCTTGTGCACGGAAAAGTACGGCATCAAGACTGCTTATTCACTGAAGCTCCACTTTCTGAAGCCTCAGATTCAGAGCTTAGGGTGAGAGACATGGCCGGGTCGCAGGTGATGGTTGTTGACGTGCGCGAGGTGTCGACGAACATGGCATCGCTGAGGAACTGCGTCGATGAACTGCCACACTCGATCTTCATTCGCCCCTGGCTTGCTGGAGCCCTGAACCCTAACTAGGTGGGGCTCTGAAGGCTTCTGAAAAATATTCGCAAAAATCCTCGTAAGCCCAATAAGGGAAAATATAAAGTGTCCCAAAGCCTACCTAGCTAAATCCTGGACCTTCCGACCCACAAAGAGGGCGTGGAAGGGAAGCTCTTTGGCTGCAGAGCTTCGGAGAAAAGACTTCTGATATGGGTGGCTGTCAAAATTATGGGTTTGGGGTTTAGGGTACTAGATAGATTATAGGAACCCCCTTACTTTCATCTTAGGGTAGGGGGTACTATATGGGTGGTTGTCAACATTATGGTCCCTTCTTTGGGTCCTTAATATAATACGGCAGCTAATATTTGAGGTACCCAAAGGGGACCCCAATTTTGACAACTACCCATATGGACCCCAAGTGGTCGATAATGTTTGGAGACACCAGATCACTGTTCGACTTCCAAGGTCAGTGAATGCAGGGAAACAGACAGAGGCTCGACTAAGCTGGAGAAGGGCACAAGTCAGAACAGCAAAAAACGAACCATCATAAAGAATGGCCGGCACCGTGGCCCTGAACGTTACGGCTGGTAGTACTCATGGCGACTGCTGAATGGTTCTGGCTTTGTTACTACAGAGTCAGATAGCTTTTTGCTGCTATTCCGATCTCCGTATTAATCGTACTCCTGCTATCACCACGACAATGGACTAAACCCTGAAACAAGAAGGCACAGTATATTGCAAAGCATAATATTATGGTATGTCACAGTGCGCTGTAGTATCTTACCAGTGCCTAAACCTCAAACAGCACGCCGAGCTGCAACTGACCATGGGTTGTTCGCGCCGCCCTGTGTCAGCTTGATGCGGCTGATTTGGGTCCTGAAGGTGCGAGGGCTTCCGTATTGAAGTTTAGGGCTTAAGGTTTAGGGTTGAATTGGGTGTGTAGGGCGGTACTTGCCAGGTCTGTTTGCAAGCCACACAAACCGAGCGCCATTGACCTAATCCTGATCAATTCCCTAAACCCTAACCCCCAGGTAGGGCCCTCAACAGTTGGAATTGTTTTCGGTATCTGAAGCCGTCGTCATGCATAGGGACACTCACGGGATATTACTACTGATGTTCAAAACTCTATTTATCAAACCTAAACCCTGAATCCAGCAGGTGGGTTCACTTCCGGGAAATGTCTTCGGGCGTTATAGCTGTGATCTCCTACTGCGGCTGTCTTGTACCCGGATGCACTGCATTTCGCGAGCTGCTTGTGCGATTTTGTACGATGGTGCCAATGGCTCAGGCTTTCAACGAGACGGAAATTCTGCTTCTGCGGGTTTGTCATTTTCGTGGTTCTGCCGGCAATCTATGCTGACAAAACATTCTCCGCAGCCCAAAAAGCTACTCTATACAGCAAAAGCCCACGAAAACCTCAAAAAGGCACCCTAAACCATGAGCCCCTGAACCAAAAGCCCCACCCTGTCAGCAGCCCAGCAACACAAAGGGCGTGTTCACCACAATGCCTTCGACAAGATGTGAAGTCGGACACAAGCGATTCCGGTAGGTTAAAGAATATCAGGGCACCTTTCTTAGAATTCCTGACCAGGGGTTAAGCTTTGGTTACGTTCAGGTGTCCCTTATCACTGGAAAACTGCCACCAAGATTTCAGAGTCGATTGTTGAAGCACCTCAACAGGTTCGAGCTTCAGGGTGCGTGGCAATGGTGCACTGTATTTTACACAAAGACAGAGAGACAGACAGAGAGACAAACAGACAGACTGACAGACAGTCAAACAGACACGCCGGATAGCGCACAGACGAAGATGGATAAACAAGCTAATAGATAGATGAACAAAATGTACATACATATATATATATATACATATTTATTTATTTATACACATATATATATATATATGTATGTATATATACATATCTCAACACGGACAAGTGAGCATATGTATCTATGCCTTTTGGTGTATAGTTGTACTCGGTTAGATAGTCAGATAGATAGATAGATAGGTAGGTAGATAGGTAGGTACATAAACAAACAGATAGGTAGATAGGTAGATAGATAGAGAGATAGCGAGATAGAGAGGTAGATGGATAGATAAATAGATAGAAGGATAGATGGTCAGTCAGGCAGTCAGTCAGTAAGTCAGTAAGTCAGTCAGTCAGTCCGTCGGTCCGTCGGTCCGTCGGTCGGTCGGTCGGTTGCTTGGTTGGCTGGTTAGTTAGTTGTCTAGTTGGTTCGTTAGTTCGTCCGTCAGTCAGTCAGTCAGTCAGCTAGTTAAGTAGTCAGGAACTTAGTTAGTCAGTTAGTCAGTTAGCTACAGTAGCTAGGTACAGTAGCTAACTAGGCGGAGTGAGGTGGGCAGCCAGTCAGTCAGTCAGTCCGTCCGTCAGTCAGTCAGTCGGTCAGTCAACCAGTCAGCCAGCTAGTCCGTCAGGCCGGGCCTGATGCTCCGATCTTCGAATCATCCCAGCATGTGCAGCCTGCGCCGATGTCGTGGTCGCCGGCGAAATAGGAACTGCACAGACAGCAATCGGAGGATCAGGCCCTGAACTTGGGATAAGGCTGTCCTCCCTAGAACCAGCGGCTCATTGAAGTTACTTTCAGCATGTTTCCAGAGAGGTTGCTACAAGGATACTACAAAGGCCTATTCAGGCCTCACTGTTTGGCAGTATGGGTCCTGCATATCGCCTTATGAACTCCCACTTGACATGACGATTGCAAATGCTTCAGAGCTTTGAACCCTAGACCCCAAGCCCTAAACCCTCAACCGTTCAGATTTTCCGCTTTAAAGGCAGAGTCCCCAGAACCCACGTCAAAGCAGATGCTGAAGCTCCACGTTGGGTTCATGGTCTAGAGTCTACGGTTTAGGGTTGAGGGTTTAGGTTTTTGGGTTTCGAGTCTATGGTTTAGGGTTTAGGGTTCAGAGTTTGGGGTTTGAAGTGCCGACGCGACGCAACACGTTGCAGGCTTTCCAAACCCAAATCTCTGTCGGGAGTTCCTCCCTAAACGGAGTTTCCGAGAACAGGGGACCCCTACCAAGTAGTAGGATCCTGATTGTAAGGACCCCCAAAATAAGGGACCCGCCTAGTTTTCAAAACAAGGGACCGTAGTTTTCAAAATAAGGGACTAGCTAGGCCCTAGCTTTCGATGTACTCCATACCCTTATTCAATCCACCGATCCTTATTTGTAACGGACCCCAAAATAAGGGAAACCTAAAACAAGGGACCCCTGGTTTTCAAAATCAGGGACCCCTACTTAAAGGATCATGGGACTTAGTAACTAGGGTTATAATTAGGGTAACTATACTTATAACCCCAATTGAGGTACTTATAACCTTACTTACTAAGTCCCATGATCCTCCATTATAGAACCCTTATAGATCCCTTTAAGGATCCCTTTAAGGAGCCCTAGAGGTACCCTTAAAGGAACTACTAAGGGACCCCTAGTTCACCCTCTCTGCACGGAGCCCTGAGCTTGGGCGCGCGCCCGGTGTCGCCATCCACGGCGTTCGAGGCGGCCTCGGTGGAGCCTGACTTCCAAATGGGTGGCTGTCAAAATTAGGGTCCCTTTTTGGGTCCTTATTCTTCTTATTACTACTCTATTGTTATTAGTACTATGATGATGATGATTATTATCATTACTACTAGTATTATTAATACTTTGGGTCCTTATTATAATGCGGCACCTAATATTTAGGGGGGTATCCAAAAAAGGGGTCGTAATTTTGACCAACTACCCACATGAGTTTCAAACGTCGGGTGTACTACTACCAGCTATTGAGACTAGGGTTTTGGGGTTTATATAGCGAGCATAGCTCTGATGAGGAATCTTACTGTGAACAGAAAAATGTTGGCAATTATATTCCGGCGTGTACATTACGTCTTACATGTCAATCGGCGCAGATGACATCATGCATGATAACCGGAAGCACGAACGAAGGCAAGAACCGAAATTGCTGACCAGGGTGAGACTAAGGAACATCAGAAGTGTTCACTCAGACTCATCTCCTCGTAGACTAAGGTGACGAAACTCCTTACAGCACAGCCAATGCCTCGCTCTGTGTTGTAGCAGCAGCTCAAAAGTCTAAGACACGCGATCGAACCTTCAGTTGCACAATAAAGCTACACCCCGGCACAACGCTTGGATTTTGGAACCTTTGCTTGAGGTAGCATGGGGGCCTCCGCAATTTCAGCAGGAGTCTGGAGCACAGTCTCGTATAGTCACAATACTAAGAAGCTTTCTTGAGGAGTAGTTCAGTTTTCGCAACTCATCACCAGCCTCTAAGATTGACGGCTTAGGGGCCAGGGCTTCAGGTTTAAGCTCTTAGAAGTTTTACGGTTTAGTCTTCAGGAGCTTGGGGTTTTCAGCCGAAGTCCGGCTTCGAGACACTCACCCTCGGGTCTTCCTTTCCATCAAGTTGACGATGTCCCTTTTTTCACGGCGTTTTGCTCGATCGTCTGAGTCTGGTTGACTTAAGGGTTCTGGCTGTCGATGGCTTGGGATTCAAGCCCTGCCATAAACCGTGCCGAGTGACCGTAGGGTGCAGAGGCCGATAAGATCACCTGGGGACAGCGCACTGCGTCCACGCGTCAAAACCCAAGAGTCAGAGACCCCAGATCCTGAAACCTAATCGGGTTTTGGGTTTAGGGTTCAGGGTTTTGGGTCTTTGGTTCGACCTTCGGTGTTTAGGGGGGCTTTAGGCTCTTCGCGTTTCAGGGTTTAGCGAGACCGCAAGCCCCGAGACCATGTGCACAGTCAGGCTGGCCCTCAAGGGTGCCTATTGGAGGGAGCTAAGGGAATCCATAGAAAGGCACGAGTCATACAGCTAACAAGTTGCTTTGGGCATCTTGTGTAACGGTTGCAGGAATCAAGGGAGTTGGGTTTCATCCTGACCCAATTGCATCAGCTTGTAGTCCCTATAGATAAGCATGGAATATACCCCACAATCTCCAAGAACTGGGGCCTCCTGTAGTCGAGCAGGTTTTGGCTTCTTGGGCTTCGAGGTCACTAAGGGCTGAAGCTTCCATCGCTCAAGCTCTTGCTATGGTGTTAAAGGCGGCTTAGGATTCAAGTTGTTCAAGGCATGAGCACCCTAAGCCCTAGATTCTCCGGGGGGGGGAGGTTTGGTTCTGAGGCTGGCTTTAAGGGCTCTTCTTGTTGAGATGCGAGTGAACACGCAGGGTGCCGAAGATGTTTCGCACCTTTGCATATGCGGTGTGAGGTGAAACCCCTGATGCCCACCCGAAGCCCTGAACCCTAACCCGTGCTAGACTGGCCGAGACTCTCAACCCGAGAACTTAAACTAAACCTTGAAGCCGAAGAGCAAGGAAAGCTGCTTTCTCAAGCCGGAAACCCTGAGGACTTAAAAATCACCAAGCCCCACCACAGCTCAAGCCTGGAGCACTTAGCAAGAAACACCAACCCTTCGACCCGAAAAGCCTCCAAAAAAAACGAATCATCCAAAAAAGTTCGCAAAGCCTGGAAAGCCCTGAATCCCCCGCTTCGAGCCCCGAGCCTTGCTGCCCAGAACGTCCCACATTTCCACCTCAGATCGTCAAGCTTTGGGATGGGGCTTAAGGCATTTTTGTTAAACGCCTGTTGCGTCTGCTAGTGTGCGCACAGCTAACATCCCGAATCCGCCGAGGCAGAAGGCTCTTGGCCGGCAGACCTCAGAAACTACTGACTACTTCACTCATCGGCGTCCGGAATCGTGCCCACGTCATCAGCTTGAGTTTCACATACTGTCATACCGCCCCACGCCCTGGAAGACCATTGGCGTCACCCTAACCTAAGTGTACTGACATCCCAGGCGACCATATCGTTCAGGAGTTCCAATGTGGGAGGTGCCTTTTCTTGTGGCTGCGGCCTTAGCTTATCGACTCGGGGCTTAATCCCTAAGCCCTAAAGACTCTAATCTTAAACCCGAAATCCACGCTCCGAAGCCTCAAACCCCAAACCCAGATCTTTAAGCTCCGAAACCAAGAAAAAAAAGCAAAACCCCTGCAAAACTCTGAAGGCCTGAAACTCCTGCCATGGAACTACAAACACCCTATCAAAGCCTTTGCAACACCCCACCAGAGAACACGCTGAAAACATCATGTAGCATTTCGGTTCAAAACTCTACTTCAAAAACCCGACACCAGTTGAAACACCCCTAAACCAGCACACCCTAAACCCCTTCACAAGAAAGGAGAGAGCTGGCCTCATGGAGGTCCCAGGAAGAGGAGCAGTGGGTGCGGGGGATGGGCCCCGCGAGCGTGATCCTGGCCAAGAGGGGCTTTAGCAGTTTGTCAAGGGTTTAGGGGTAAGGATATGTAACGACCTGAATAATTAGAATAGGGCTTTGGGGTATATGGTCGTAGAATATCATAAGGATGAACATGGAATAGTAGTGGCAACTGTTTCGACCCGACCCTCTACCAATTAGGGCCAGAAGGTGTTCGGCTCAAGGGCTTTAGGGCTTTGGGGCTTTGAGGCTTTGGAGCTTCGGGGTTTTAGGCATCGTCTGACTTTAGAGGTGTGGGCTTTGCAGCTCTCGGGCTTTAGAGCTTCGGGGCCGCGTCGATTGCACAGGGACACGGGATTTGCGAAGCTAGATGGCAAACATCGAGTCGAAGGCATCCACCAAGCGGCGAGAGCCACAAACGCCTCTACGAAATCTTTCAGAGCTTTGATGAGCAAAGGGTGCCAGAGTCCTGTAGTACTGGTGGCCATCGTAGGGGTTGCAGCCCGTCTCAAAGCCTCTGCAGGATCAACTCAGTTGTCAGATCTTGGGCCTACGGGATAAGGCTTGGGGCTTGAGCACTGAATACAAGGATTTGCGATTCTGGCATTCTGGGCGGTTTGGCTTGGGCTTCGCAGCGTGGGGTTCGGGGAAGGGACATGCATCCTCTCCACACACCACTTCTCTACCGAAGCTGACATTTAGGATTCAGGGTTTGGGGTTGAGGGGAGGTCTAGAAACTTTGAAACGGAAGATCACCTCTGCAACCAACCAAGGCCCTGGAACCTCCTGTATTGCGGAAGCCAACATACGCCCCACGGCTTTGGGCACACGCCCCGGAGCCCTGTTCTTCCCCCCTCTTTCCGGACCCCAGACCCTGAACGCTAAATCCTCAAGCTGAAAACCTAACAAGCGCTCAACTGCTCTCAGCATACAGCTCCATTTAAGGCCCCAGAAGCCCCGAACCGTCAAGCCTTCTGAGCATCTCAAGGGCTGGCTGGAATGAATTAGAAGCTTCCGAGTCCTAGGGGTTTAGCCCTAGAGGCAGCCTTCAGTCAATGGGATAGGGCCTGCATGACTTAGAATTCATTCTTTTGTGGGGGGGGGCTCCTTGTTCCACCTGCAATCCACAGGTAGAAGGCCATTAGGGTCCACTCCCAAGAAAACAGCATTACTAGAACATGGGCCCAGGGGAAAGCAACGCTGGCCTTGCTTCAAGGGTACCCGTGCGGCCATATCCGCCGCACGCTGGATCTATGTGTTGTGGGGTTTGGACTATGTCTTGGCAACGGCCAGAAACCTGCATAACCCAGGCTGCTGGAAAAAGCCTTGTTCGAAAGGAACCCGATCACGTCAAGCCTTGTGATCCCCGAATCTAGGAGGCCGCCAGAAAGAAGTTGAAACGACCTTGCAGCTATTCATGGACTCGAAACGAGCTTGCTGCCTTTCATGGTAAATAAACTCTATCAAAACATCGAAAAGTGAGTTTCTATCTGCTTCAGGACGACTGTAAACCCCGTAACCTGAAAAACCTAAACCCCGACTTAGCTTGCCTAACCCAAAACCTCCCCAGCGCCTTCAACCGTCGTCGTGGACGTCGTGGTGGTGGTCGTCACAATGGGGCCATCGCCTGGCTGAAACCAGCTTTTGGATGCAGAGTGGGCTTTTACAGAGAATAAGGGTATGAAAAGGATTCTGCAGGTGTTGAGGTTTTGTGTCGTGAGGGCTTCAGGTTTAGGGTTTCGGGTTGCGGGCTCAGGCCTTTGAGCTGTGAGGTCTGGGCGAACTCAAACTCTGAAAACCTCACACAAAAAAAAACTCTACGACCATTCTGGGTCAAGGAATAAGCTCTGTCAAGGCTCTATGATTCCCCCAAATCCTAAAACCGTTGAAACCAGCCTTTGGCGAGGCCCAGCGTCGCCAGCAGAAGACGCCCAGCGAGCCCAGGTCGTCCGGCCATGGCGAAATGCAGAAGGGTTTGGGGTACTGTGGGGGCCTAAAATAGTTAGAATATAGGGTTCCTTTAAAGGGGTCTATATCAGGGCGATTATAAGGGATCCACAAGGGTACTATACGGCTTTGGGGGTTTCCAAACTATGACTATAGTATACTATATCCGCAAAACCTGTTCTAATTCTTAAGGCCCCTACACTTACAGGCGGTAGCTCGAGTTTGGGGTGTCGGTGCTTTCGAGCTTTGCCCTTTGCCCTCAACCCTGAGACTAACCCCCTTCTGAGGATCTCAGAGCAACCCCTAAGACCCTTATGAGCAACTCTTGTAGTACCCCTTGTCGTAGCCCCATAGTAGCCTTAAAGCATTCCTTGGTGGTGATCCTTCTTCAGTGCTTCGGAGCTTCAGAGCTCAAAGTTTCCGGCTTGAGCCTCGCCCGGGCGTGCAGCGGTAAACCGGGTAACCTCGGAACGCTTCCGGTGATCTCGAAGCTTTGGGGCCCAAAGCAAAGAGGGGCTGTGGGCTCTGGGCTTAAGGTTCAGTCTCTCATTTTGTGACCGATCCCCGCAACACGTCGCAGGAAAGACGTTTAGGACCTTTGGGCTTTTGCAATCAAAGCCTCAGCAAGCTTCCTAAACCCACTTCCCCCACTCCTTTTGCTGTCGAGGCAAACGGCTTCCCCCAAGGGCGCGGTGGGCCCTTGAAGTTCGGAGCCGATCGGCGGCTCTTACACCCCCCCAGGCCCAAGCTCGAGAAGCAGCGTCTAGAGTGGAAGGGGCGGAGAGCTCAAGAGTTGAGGCGGAGGAGGGCTCAAGGGCAAGACTAGGCTTTGCTTACGGCTTCTGCAAAGGACGCTTCCGGCGCGTGGTCTTTGAAAGCTAAAAGGTCGAGGAACTTCGGCTGAGTGACCTTCGCCCAACTGGAGCCTTCCTGGGTCCTCTGCCGGGACCTTCGAGATGCCTCTAGAAAAATGCCTGAAGACAAAAAAGAGCTGAAGCGGGAACCCTGGCAGCTGAAGAGATCTGGGGAGGATGGCCTTGCAGGTGTGGCAGATGGTAGCAAAAGCTACCCGGCAGTTTTCCTCAACATTACCACTGGAGGTTGATTTTCCGTGCGGATTGCTGAGGGACACGGTTTTCACACGATCATCTTGAGCACCGGGTCTTGTTGGGATTCAGGTTATCATTCCCGGTCTTGGGTTGAGAAAGGACGGCGTACGGCTAACTGTGCGGGTTCGAGGCTACGGGTCGCAAGGTTAACGGTTCAGCGTGATGTGTTAGGGCATACTCGCTTCAGAGTGATAGGAGCGGCTGCGGCGGCTGCTGTTGCTGCTCCTCACTCCGGCTGCTGATAATCCTATTCCCGATTTTCCTACTCGTACTCACCGACAGGAATCCCAAACAGGGAAACCCGACTGGAGGAAGACTGCCGATGGGACCCCGCAGAGGCTTGCGGCGCAGGGATGCCGGTCGAAACCACAGTTCCAAACAGATCTTGCGAGCGCAGCGGGTTCGGGTCATAAGACCTTTGGCACGTAGGATTAGCTGTATTTTTTGGCCGTGGGCGTTTGGGTTCTGCGGCTGAGACTATGCACGCCCCGCCGACCTCCCTGCGCTTCAAACATCCAGGGGCGTGAGACATGACGAAAATTGGCTGTGGCATACAAGCGCTCGGCCCTGAGCAGGACTAAAGGCATCGGGTTCTGCGGTGCTAGGCCAGGGAGACTGAGGGCTTGAAATGTAAGGTAGGTCTTAGCTCACACATTGCATCAAACCAAGCCATCAGACCAGAAGTCCAACTCCAACGAAAGCTACTTAAAGAATCCTTTCGAGTGTCCGGGTTGGAGCGATAACCGTTGCTGACTGGCGAAGCTTCATGGCAGGGCAGCATCATTCCGAGTTCAGGAAGCTCGTGCGCTTGCCCTCGAAGCCCATCCTTCTTTGCATCTGGTTCTTCTTCTTCGTGCCTGCGGACACATCGGATACATGAAGGTTAACGTCCAAGCACCGGGTACCCAACCCGGTGAAACTCGTTAGAAGAAAGGCTCACCTATCGCTAAGAGACACATGGCCGAAACCCGAGATGGCCTCAGAAGCGCGCCTACATTCTAGGCCATCTTGCTTCTACTCGTCCTCCCTCTGCGTCTACTTCTCATGCTCCGTCGCAGTTCTCCTACAACTCCCGTACACCATGATGCTGCTCCCGGTGTTGGCTCCTTGCTTGCCTTCTCCTATGATTCGTGCCACAGGCAGTCTTCTGATTCGGGTTCTGGCTCCAGTGAGATAGGCAGGGCTGATTGCGGCATTTATCGGACTCGGTCGCATACTACTGGGGTTGAGGCTAAGAGAATCACAAAAACAATCAAACAAAAACGAAAGGCTCCTCTTATGTGCTTTCTCTGCGAAAACGAGGCTGTCCATCTAGAAGTGCCATCTGTGCATCCACACCCAGCGCGTCGACAAGCCTTATATTCATAGATCCAGACCTGGAAGCCTCAACCCTGAACTTCAAGCCCTGAAGCCTAAACCCTAAACCGCAAAGCCCTAAGCCCTAAACCCTAAGCCTGAACCTAAACCCTAAACCACAAGTCCTACACACCAAACCTTAAACCGCAAGCCGATAAACCCTAAACCCTAAGCCGCAAAGCCCAAACAAAAGAAGGGCAGAGAGCTGCGCCTCGGCTCTGAAGGTTCTCCTTTCTCTGCGCCTGCCTCTCCTCGGCCTTCCGTGGGGGGAGGGGCGGGGGAGGAGCTTAAACGGTCTTCGAAGTTTCAGAGTTGAGGAGTTCGATTTCGGGCAAGGGTTCAGTGTGGTCTCTTTGGGTCTAGAGTTTGGGCTTTTGCATTTAAGAGCTGATGGTTTTGGGCTTTGGGGAGCTCTCCTGCGGGGAGCGCGACAAGAAACCTGTACCCAAGCGCAGCGTTTACCGTGGCCGAATTCAGAGGCACGCAGGTTTCCCTCGCTTTCAGCAGTGAAGCATCAAAAAGACCCAAACCCGCCCATTCCGGTGGATCAACCAAGGTACTCCCAAGATGGATCCGGAAGTCTTAAACCCCTAAACCCTCCATGCGTTCAACCCCCGATCGCTATCCTAGGGACTTAAAGTTCGGGTCCCTGATGTCTTACTGACTCGGACACCCTAAACCCTTGAATTCCTTCAAATCTGCTACAAAACATGGGGTCTTCTCGATCCAAAGAGGGCTTGGGGTATAATATGCTGCAGTTATGATACGGAACCCAGAAGAATACTGTTGGTCATTCTTTTAGCAATTATGCTTCGCCGTTGGAAGTGGGAACAGCTAAATATAGAAGCTTAAAAAAGCAGATCTTATTCCGCAGGACCTTCTGCTTGTCGTTCTCCATCTTGGCGTTCCAGCGGTCCTGCGCTTCCACATGACGGCTGTGATGGCTAAAACCGCCGCCAGCAAAAAAGCTGTACCACTTCCCCCTGCGACTATCACGACGACGACGACGCATGCGATTAAGGATTTCGCGGCCGCCTCGGGCCTGCAACACGAAAGCTTCCTTCAGGTTGGACCACACACACACACACACACATGGACCTGAAGATCTGAAAAGCCGTTGGCTTACAAAGCAAATGGACCCGAGGGACGCTGCCGAAACCTTGCTGGCATCTCATTTCTCCCTCTTGTGGCAGAGGCCTGCCTGCCCCTTCTTCTTCTTCATCTCCATGGTCTTCTGGACCTTTCGGAGCTTGCTCACGTCGTCGTGCACCTGATCGGATAACTGCATGAAGACCTGCTGATACGAGTACCATGACGAAGGGTTCTGCTGGACCCGACTCATGCCACCACACGACGACGACGACGACGGCGACGACACCACTGCTGCTGCTGCTGCTGCCACAAGAGACAAAATCCTTTTCATCCCATCTGCAGCAGCGCCGCGCAGGGCCTTCATGCCCCCTTTCAATCCCACCGATCCTGTTCGTGGTGGGAGTTCCCCACATTCGAAGAGACGTCAAGGCCACCCTAAGCCCTGATACAAGCGGTTCAGGGCTTCGGGTAGCTCCATAGACCTGCACGGGGGATTCTTAAATGGAGAGGAACTTAAATTGGGAGGAAACGCAGACCCTGAGGCCCCGGTAGTGGCCGCATCTAAGCTTCTTCGCTCACCTCCAGCCATGGGTCCTCGTCGGCAGAGATCGGTTTCGGGCTGGATTTCGGGTTTGGGTCGAGGGGTTTGGGCTGAGGGCTCGGGGCTGAAGGATGGCTGCAGGGTTTCGGGTGCAAGGTTTCTACGGCTCAGGGTTGGGGCTTGCAGGACGCATGCTGTCGTTGCTACTGCTGCTCCAGCTGACTGTGTTGAAACAGTGAGTACCTTTCTTTTGCTGCGCTACTGTTGTCATGGCCAAGGCGAAGTATCGCTTCTGCAGGCTCCTCAGCTCCGATCACTACTGCCATGTATACCATGGATTCTTTGTATACAAAAACATATATGTGTATATACAACAACCCGCATGATTCGACTTTGTCGGCTGCTACTCCTCCTAGCACCAACTGCCTGCAAAAAGTGCCCCCGCTACCACTACAACTACCACTACGACCGCGCAAGGGTGTGTCCTCCCAGCGGTCCATGAAGGAGAAGTCCCCCGGAGTGGCGCTTTGCGAAACAAAGTGCCTCTGGGTTGTTTTGGATTTAGAGTCAGAGGGTAGAGTTTGCCCATATTATGCTTTGAACCCTCAGACTCCAAACCCAAAACCCTGCACGCTGAGCCCTTAACCCCTGCAAAACTCTCAACTCCCCGTTGAGTCTCTAGCTGAGTTGCTCTCTCATCGCAGGCAATGCATTGGCGAAGCCCGCGTGCGACTCACTGAAGCCTGCCAAACAATGAGAAGCCTTAGAGAGCTTGTATGGTCGGTAGGGCTCACCTCGCAATGGTTTTATCAGGTGTTAAAACCAGTTTAATGGCTGCTTATTAAAATTGGAGTTTACAGTGTAGTTTGGGGCTGTAAGCAAGACCATGATTACCAAACGGCTTTTCATTCA